TAATAATAATAATAATAATAATAATAATAATAATAATAATAATAAAAAAAAATAAAAAAAAGCTCAGCCACCATCCTAACCCAAGGAAGGTTGAGAGAAAGCTAAAAGGGTTAGGCAGGATAGATTTCTGGGTGGATAATATTTCACAAGGCGGGCCCCATCGCCAAGGAGGTGATTGTAGCATTAAAGCATCACCGATATTCTGACTTGCAAATTTAAAGGTTCAGCGACATTCCTCCCCCCGCCAAATTTGGTGCGAAATAAATAACAATTCCTACTCACAGTAAAAAGGACAAAAAACCTCTGGTTCCTTTCCCCCACACAGTTATTAACCCACGGACAGTGATGATCCATCTTCCGAATACATCGTTTGCAAATGCTGATGGAATTGAAAAAAAAAAGGGATAGAAAAAAGTTATGTGCCTTTTGGAGGCAAAAGTAGAATCCATTTCTCTGAAAATCCAAGGTAACTGCATACAATAAATGAGCCAGATATATTTACTCTTTGATGAACTAGACAAAACTTTCCAGATGAAACACTGGAAAGAAAGAATCAGGCCTCTATAAAATTATGTAATCTATTACCAAAGCAACTAAGATAAATTAAAGATCAGCTAGGAGATACCACTCTGGCTTCAAACCCACCGATCTTAACTGTGAAACTCTAACCTATAACATCAAGTCAGGCTACTGGACTCCTTAGAAACATGATACAGGTCAGATTTGTGTCCTATGCTTTGGTCTCCCGTGTAGATCAAAGTACTGGAAACAATGGAAATCTTTGGTGCCATCAGGCTCCCAGCCTGCTCTGACTTTTTTAATACTTTTTCAGCAGGAAAAAAAAAAATGGAAAAGTAGCAATGCGAAAAAACATCTTTTCAGAATCAACCCTATCTCGAAGAATGCCTCTGAGCTCCAAATGGGCTTCACAAGCGTTCTCGAAGCATGAAAACGCTGGGAAGGTGTTGTCCAGGGCTTTGTCTGGAAGTTGCCCCACTTGCCCAGGATGAAGACAAAGATGACGAGGCAGGTGGCCTTTGTGGCTGGGCCTGCATCTCCTATGCAGCCATCTGGTAAAACCACTCCCAACAGTAACTCTGTAAAAGCACCCACAATCCATTCCCAAAGTTTAAAAAGCATCCCCCTGCCCCTAAAAGTTGGAGATTCCCAGGGTTATGATCTTCACGTTGAACCAGCAAGAGTATTTCTGATAGGGGTGAGGATACACCACAGTACTTTGCTACAAGTCTCCTCTGGAACACTTCTATTATTATTATTACTATTATTATTAAACTTTATGGTCACTGTACCTCCTACAATGAAATTAAATGC